TGGTTGCCTTTGCTGATTGCCTTATATCGACCTCGCCGGGCGTTCAGCCGCGCATACCTTCGTCTGCAGCCCCCAATGCTCACCGGTACCTATTGCCAAGCTGTATGTTTACAAATCGACGCGGAAATGGAAATACGTGCCTGCGGTCTTGACGAAGCCGCCTGCTAATGCGGAAGATGATCAAATTCAGGACCAGAAGAACATCAGTAGTAAGCTGACCCGTGCCATCATACTCAAAGTCGACAGCCAATGAATACAACAATGTAATTAACGAAAGTTCTGGAGCACTTCTCCCAAGTTACAACAAGCCTACTCAGATTGGCCAACACCAAAAGATCATCGAACCGCCACATTTAAGGCCACCATCCCTTCTCACGCCGCAGCCCAATTGAGCTACGTCGTCCTCCTTCGATCACGGTCTACGCCCTGCACAAGCGCCCATCGCTCGCCACATTCCATGCATCGCTGCCGACTATGGTGGGGCCATAAAACAGATCATCTGGATCGTACGCCTTCTTGATCTTGCGCAGCTTGTCGTAATTCCCACCGTAGAAGTCCTCTTTCCACATCGGATTCGCAAAGTTGGCCTCGTTCAAGTACGACCCGGCGCCTGGTGTGACAGCTTCGAGTTTGGGTATGATGACGTTGTTGATCTCGTCGATTTGAGCCAGGTTGAAGTTCCAGGGCTGGTTGTATTGCCACTGTAGCTGCGCGAGGACGTTCATGTTGGCTTCGCGCCACTGTGGGGCCACGGCGTTTGGTGCGATGGCATCTTGGGTTGAAGAGCCGACCCCAACCAGGGCAATCATTGCGTCGATAGTTTCTGTGAGGTCGCGCAGGACTGATACAAATTCTGCTGTGTTGTTCTGTAGAACGGGCCGAGGGACGAAGCGCCCACCGCTGATTCGGTCTATCAGCTGCCACTCCGGCGGAATGAAGTAGATGTTGTAGAAGTCCATGAAGGTGGGAAAGGTGGTGACATTAACTGAGTATTCGAGTCCCAAGCTGTCCAGCTTCGTCGTGACTGGTGCAATTAGATCTCGCACGTCGGCCTCGTCTCTGTCGGGGAGTACGAGAGGTGAAACGCTGAACGACGTGGGTGACAAGATGCCAATGGCTGTTGCGCCACCGTCGACGAGAGCGGGTATGTTTGAGAGCCATGCTTCAACACCCGCCCATAATGTGTCGTTGGATCCGTTTGCGTCCGCTGAAAAAGAGAGAGAGCCAACAGCCGCGACACCGTCCTTGAACGCTCGCACTGTCAGTGATACCACCACGCCGTACGTTCCTGGTCCCCCGCCACTCAAGGCCCAATAGAGATCTTGGTTCTTGCTCGGGGTGGCGGTAGTCAGCGTCCCATTGGCGAGCACAACTTCCCATTCCAATGCCTGATCGGCCCCCATGCCATAAGTGCTAGTCAAGGAGCTGTGCCCTCCGCCTTGAGCAAAGCCACCTACCAGGCCGACCGTTGGGCAGCTTCCGGAAACGATGCGCAGACCTGCCTTTGAGACTACGGGGAGAGCATCCTCGCCAACGACTCCAGCGCCCATCTTCACAGCGGGGCCGCTGTAATACGTGCTGTTGTAGTTGCTGATAACCTTAACTGACTTGAGTTTGTGAGTCCACAGTCCAAGTGATCCTGCTCCCACGTTCTTGCCCATGAAGCTAGATATGTCAGTAAAGTTCTACACTGTGGGCTTGTGGTACTCACTCATGACCCGTGTTTTTGATGACCAAGCGGATGTTTTGCTTCTGGGCGAATCGAACACCGGCCTGGATGTCCTTGGCCGAAGAGACTGTAATGGTGTACGGAGAATAGTTTCCGAGTTCGCAAGGCTTCGAGCGTCCTGTGAAGGGGCTGCACGCTTCTGTCTGGAAGTAGGCGCTCTGAACAGAAGTCGATGAGTTCTCACTATTGATTGTAAGTCTGCTATCATATCAAAGAGATGGGTCATGGAGGTTCTTACTGCACTGGAGGGAATGCCCAGCTGGCTTTGAGAGAGTTGCATGCTGCTTCGTCATAATGCGGGTCATGGCAGGGTGCAGCCAACGGAACGGTCGACACAAGCTTTCCATTGACTGTCTTGTTGAGAGCATTCCACTGGCCAGGCGATGGCCAAGTGTGATCCTGAGGTAACTCCCGACAGCTTGGACTGGCGCACAGTGCTACGGCTGCACACATGGCATACGTGACAGCCATTCGGTACGATGATAGAAACATGCTAGATGATCGTTCCACGCCTGGATAAGTATACAGAATGACGAAGTGGTTGAAGACAATGTATGGCTCCGGTCTGGACATCTTCATTTTATATCCTCTTTGCCGCCCCAAACGGCCTCCCGTCTTCTCGCAAGCCACCACTGTCTAGGACGTGTGGCTTGATAAAGAGGCATCCTGGTAAGATCGAGACCAGTGAAGTTCATTCAAAAGAAGGCCTGGATGTCGCCAGGATTGACCGTGGCAGTTGGTGGAAGCATGAACCTCAGGAGTTCCACCCTTTGATTTGGCAGGCGCAGACGCCCCATGAACTCTTGGTACCAGATACTATGTTTGGATGATGTGTATTCGTTGGTATCTCGCGTCGGCCGCCACCACCATGATAGCTCGTCTGAGACCCTCGAGGCTGATTGCACCTGAATAGTGCAGATAGCATCCCGTCCCGTCGAAGGTAGTGCCTCGGTTCGTTCTCAACTATGCGCATGTGGGTGTATGATACGCCCGAGTAGCCTTGACGGTAAGTCCAGTGAGCTCATATTGTCGGAAGCATCCAGTAAGCGATCCTCGCGGGCTGAGGCGTAACTCGGTCTGAGAACACACATTTGCCGGGGCACAGTCGCCGACATGGGAAGGTCCCATAGTTGGCTGCGTACTCTACATCATACGGGATAGCGATGCGTTGAATAGTCGCCAGTATCCCTTTGAAGTTCTCACCGTCACGCCAACCTAGGAAAAAACCGAACAGCCTACAGCCTACAGCCTACAGCCTACAGCCTACGTTGACGTTAGGCTACCTACTTTGCAAGGTTTTAGCTTAATGTAGCCTGCAGACCTGTTTAGTTCTTTTCTTGTATGAGGTGCTGTGTATGTGTAAGCTTGTGGATAGCAGGAGATGTGGCATGATGCGAAGTGGGTTGTGTTGTTGATTGGCCGCGTGGCTATCACGTGACTGATCTAGGCCAAAACAGCGTTAGCTCTCGGCGCTAGACAGAGAACCAAACACCGAGCCGGGCTGAGATAGCCCACAGCACTCGGCCCCGTCTTCAGCAGGTGCCTGAGACCCTGCACATGTGCGCAGTCATCAACGTGAGATCTTAGCCATTCTTGCTCGCTATATAGCTCAAGCCTCCTGTCCGCCTTACCCATAAGCTGGCCAGAAGAACCACAAACGAAGAGGCTTACCACAGACGAAGAGGCTTACCAACAGCCCGTGCCGTAACGATGCAACCCTCCATGGATGCCGTGGAACGGCGGAAGATACAGAACCGACACGCACAGCGGCGCTTTCGCAGTAAGTGGTTTAGACTGCTAGAAGGCCCGAACCAAGGCCGGGCCCTAGTCCGAGTCAAAGGCGCCCTCTATCCTCATCGAGGCCTCTGCGGCTACTCGGCCCTTTGATACTGACCGTTCGGGCACTGTAGGCAAGAAGGCGACTCAAAACGGAGGAGAGCCGTTCACGACAGCGGCGGCACCGTCCGCTGCAGCTACAGCGAGCGGGCCAAGTATACAGCCGCGCCCGCAGTCAAACCACGATGTGCTGGCATGGGGCAGCGAGGGAAGGCTATCACACCCCCACGCAACTGGACTACAGACGTCGGAGCAAGGCCCGGTGCCCCCATCGGCGACCGCCAATGACAGCCACACACTACAGGGGGACGCCACGATTACAGGGCTGCTCCGCCAACTTCAAGATCCGCTTACTTCGTCATCGTTGCGACCACAGTAAGATACTCTCAATGCTATGGCGTGGGGATCTGGCTGAGTGACATGCAGTCCGCAAATGAACATGACCGACTTCAACTTCCCACCGTCTATGACGCAATCACGTCATGCTGTGCTATGGCCCCACGACCCTTCAGCCGAGGCCATGGTCTTCAGTACTGACGATGCTGGGGGCTTCTACTCCAATCAAGACACGAATAGAACCACGTGGCCTGACACCGGACCGAGCCGCACCCAAAGTGGATCTGAAAGCAGCAATGATACGTCACAAATCAACACTCGTATAACCACCCCCAACCTCTTTGTCGATGGCCGTCCTGGACAAGACAACGATCTCGACGACGACGAGCCCTTCCAGACGAACCTCCACATCGCGGCTGAGGCTGGTCATGACAGCCTTGTAGGCCTCCTGCTGGGCTCAGGGTACACCGTCGATGAACACGACAGGGTAAAGTAGCCGCCACGGATAGCTTTAAGAATATCTTACTAACTTCTTACTAGTATGTATCCCTCTTAATACGTTTTAGTTGCGCAGTTATCAAGGCCGTACTAAGATGTATCTCTCTTACTATGCTAACAACGTAACAGTGACGGCAACACAGCTCTGCATAGGGCCAGTCTTGGTAAACATGTCAAGGTGATGTTGAGGCTACTCAAAGCCGGTGCAAATCCCAACGCCATGAATGTTCACGGCTGGACCCCCGTGCATATGGCTTTTTCTCTCGGCTCGATGGAGGTAGTAGAGGTCCTGGTCCGACATGGTGGTGATCTGAACAAGCGTGCGAAAGGTAAGTTGAGCTGTGACAAATTCAAGGAAGCTCTTGCAGCGAAGGATCGAGGGCTTTCGCTTGAAAAATAGGCTTCCGCTTGAAAAATAGCCGGGGCTTGTTATTGCTATTGTGAGCATTGGCTAAGGCTAAAGTGCGGCGAAGCAACACAGAGTCTGTAAAAGGGATTCATGGCTTTTCGGGCTAATAGACAGTAAGAAACAACGAGTGTTTCGAGCCTGCACCTGAATTGTGCCTCCGAGCGATCAAGACTGTTCTCCCCAGACTCCCACTCATTTTACCAGCACTCTCACCCCTTTGGTCACCCGATCAGGAAACGGAATGAAATAATCGGCTTTCATCTCCACCGCAGCTCGCCCAGTCTCAAACAACTCAAGTTCGAGCCTACGAAAAACAACAGCCAGTCCAATATACAGCTCTGCGCGCGCTAGATTGATCCCAAGACACATTCTTGGGCCCTTACTGAACGCAACTAGGTACTTACTTAGTGGCTCGCCATTCTTCGCCAACGCCTTCTCAAGCCAGCGCTCGGGCACAAACTCATGCGGCTTGTCCCAAATGCGCGGGTTCGTGTGCGTGTAGTACGCCGTCATGCTAAAGTCGGTACCGGCTGGGATAACGATGTCCTTGAACGTGATAGGCTCTTTGCGAGACCTGTGCGCTGTGCGTGAGGAGATGCCAATCGTGATGCGAAGGGTCTCGTTGACGATTGCGCTGAGGTACGGCAGTGCTTCCAGAGTGGCTAAAGACGGGGCCACGTGCGGGTCTGGAAACACAGTGCCTAGTTCTGCACGCAGCCTTGCCGCAATAGCCGGGTTCTCGAGTATGTAGAAGGTCGCTTTGGACAAGGCGGTTGACGTTGTTTCGACGCCGCCTGCAACGATGGACCCGCCTGAACATGTGAGTGGATAGTTCTGACTATGAAGGTGGGCGGCCCTACCTTCGTGCTTGAGTCTCTCAACCGCCTTTTCTTCGGTAGGCAGATCAGAGTTGAGAAGCTCGCTAAACACCGTTTTATGTTCGACATCCTTGTGTGCGTCGTTGGATCCAGACTTGATGGCGCGGATTTGGTCTTCGATTTCCTAGGTGGAGTCAGCAGCTACAATTCCATCAAAATCCCACGAGACCTACCCCATGGAATCCAAAGATAGCGCCCATGGCTGGATTCATCGCCACCGACCACCTTTGGGGGAGCGCCTGCAGCAGAGACAAGAGCCATGGGAAGTGGCCCATGGTATGCAGCGTCGTTGCGAGTTCCTTCGCCGCGTTGGTGAAAGGCGCTTCGAAGTTCGGATCTTCCATGTACTCGAACGAGCGCGCAAAGGCGTAGTGCGTAATGACGTCGAATGTCATGGCTGTGAAACAATTGTTCATAATGGCTGGTCTGCCCGAACCCGCGAACTCGGTCTCCAGCCGATCACACAGCCGCTGCGCCTTTTGACTGATGAAGTCAGTGATGCCTGATATCTTCTGCTTGGAGAAGAATGGCGCCACCGCCGACCGGCGCATTCGGTGGCTGTGAGGTGTCAGTTGATACTGCTTCGGTGGGGGAATCCATGCTGCCTTACTGTTGATGCTCGATAGTGTCGAAACTCGAATGAGGAATACCAGTTCGATATTTCCACTCGATTTTCTTGTCGAACTGAGAGTTGCTGGCGAATAGGACCTGCACGAAATCCGGATCTGCGATGTGCACCTCCCAAGGGTTGATGCGCACGATTGGACCTGTCATCAATCATCGTATGCCCAGTTGATGAAGGACTAGATCGGAAGACGAACCATATCTTTCATGCCATTCTCCGAGCTTGAAGATCAATTGACCGCCCCGAAAGACATCGTGGTATGTTTCTACCCATCCCGTGACTGCCGCAAGCTTGGGTCCAGGAAATTTGGACAACGGACTCAAGAAAAGACGGTATATCGCAAGCGATGTTCCCCACAGTAAGAGGAGAGTTGCAAGCAAAATCAAGCGCAGTGTTGTGCTAGACAAAGACCGCTGGAATTCTTCAAACTGCTTGAAAGTCATGTTGGGATTATGCAGCGTCTTGCGACTGATGGATTTCGCTAGAGACCTGAGCTCCTCATGTTTGATGCTTTGCTTGCCAATATCTGGTGCCATACGGGAAACATCGATCACGTGAGAGCGATGCATAGTAATCGTTTCCGTTCAGTTCACTGTCATCCGACCATAGGTAGGTGGACTAGATAGCTTACACTAAGAGTACAAGCCACTTATCGCGGTCAGCCTTACATGGTGCATCACGCCATGGAAAGGAGCGAGCTGCTAGTGCGTTTCGAGGCCAAAAAGGCATAAAAAAGGCACAAGCAGCGGATGGCCCCACCACCTCATGCAAGGATAAACCGAACACCTGGAGGCTGCATCAAGATAAAAACGCGCATATTAGGTGACCCAAGATCAACGTAGGCTCCTGGGTATTCGTTCTTTCCCTTGACGGAGGTGTCACTGCTGGATCTCCAATAGCACTGCCAGCCCTATAGCCAATCATGCCAGTGCGTGTACTCTGTCTTCACGGGCAAGGAGTGAACTCAGCCGTCTTCCAGAAACAGACACGTAAGTAATACCAAGATCAGCCAGCGTAGTATATAAAGATTTGACCAACCAATAGAGAGCCTACGCGAGATGCTGCCTGCAGATTACGATTTCCGTTTCTTCGACGGCAAATACGAATGCGAACCGGCGGAGGAAGTGCGCGATTACTACCAGCCCCCGTATCTTACTTGGTACAACACTCCGACCGTGGAGAAAGTCAAGGACGCGCATGAGCAAATCCGGCAGATCATCGAGAGCCACGGCCCCTTTGATGCAGTCATGGGCTTCAGCCAGGGCGCTGCTGTAGCAGCCTCCCTACTGTTGCATGAGGAGCTAGAATCGAAGCCACTCTCCTTCAAAGCCGCAATATTCATTGGCTCGCCCATACCATTTGCCAGAACTACGCAAGTGGGCATTGATGCGCGCTCTTACTTTGGCGTTCCCAACACGCTTCCAAATGCGCACGCTCGCCCGAGCCGCATACCACCCCACTTGCTGACAGACCCTGCGTATTTGCGCAATCCCGCGCAGCTGGAGCGGGTTTCGTGCGATAACGTGCAATATCAGATGTTTCACCCCACGGCTGACAAGGTGCGCATCACGTTGCCGACGGGACATGTCATGGGTATGCAGGATAAATGGTTGTGCCACAGTAAGGATTTGGTTGGGCTGTGTCAGGAGGATTGCAGGGTGGTATTGCAGCACCACGGTGGGCATGAGGTACCTAGGGCTTACACGGAAGAGATTTGTGATGTTGTTGAGACGGTGTTCGGGGGACTGCTGTAAAAGGGCCCTTGTGTTTCACATGCGGCCATTATCACCTATACAATTATATATTCTACAATATATTCTATTTACTCTAGCTAGCTATCCTGCAACTCTCTAAACTTTAAAGTTAGTAAGCTTTATACTATAGCCTGCTAGTATAGCGTTAAATTTTTTTTTTATAGCTTATCTATAAAGTTAATATTTATACTAAGAAATCTCTATTCTACTAGTAATAGCGTAAAGCTAGGTATCTAAAGTTATTAAAAAAAGCTATCTATAGCAGCTTTCTTAGTAGCTAAAAAAGTCTTCTTAGTAATTATTAATTCTAAGATATTAGCTATATCTTTAATACTAATACTATAATATACTATAAAGTTAGCTAAAAATAAAGTAATACTTTTTTATATTCTGCGTAAATATATTAAGAAAAAAGATAATAATAAAAAAAAAAAAGACTTAGAACTAGTAAAATAAACTTACTTATAGTAGTTTTTATAAAGTAAAGGCTTTTATAGAAAATACTTTTAAGTACTATAAAGCTATAGTAGCTAATTTAAACACTTAAGTTTAAAAAAGTAGTAGTAATAATAAAGTCTACTATAGTTATATATATGTGTTATATAAGTAATAAAGACGTAGTAGTAACTATTTTATATATTACTTTCTTTTAACTTAGAGTATAATATATACTTTAGTTCTTCTATTTTGTTTTATAGTACTATAGTAGTAATATAAATAAGTAACTTATAACTTTTAAATTCTATATAAACCTATCTAATTAGATTCTCTTAAAAAATAAGAAGTATTGTTAACACAAGAGCTTGCTGTAAAAGGTTACGTAAGATAGAATAATTAGGATTTATATAATAGAAAAAGGGCGGGCCTGTTAATGGCTTACCTTGCATGATGATTACGAAGGAGCTCATTTTCATTGGCTACGGTCTGGGGCATGATCGTTAATAAGAACGACCTCGGGAGCTCCTTCGTGCAGCGGCCCGTGACACGCGCCGGGACGTCCTGCACGCTAGGGTTGATCTTGATAAATCCCGTCCCGGAGAGATTCTGACATGCACGGTAATAACGCCACACGAGGCAAGGTAAGCAGGACTGACAAAACAAAGAAACAGACATGACTGCGGAACTCGCGATTACCCAACGCGACATGGCTGACAAATGTTGCACGTTTGTGCTCAGTCGCCTGGCGACAGACGGCGACAGGCCCTCACCGATGCCTCCCAGCTCATTCACTTGCCTGTATTGCAGCACTCGCTTTCGCACCCACGTAATACCAAACTTTGCCTATCCCATTCTACACTTCTCCCGACATCCGACTTCCATTTCGAGATGGCTTCTACTGAACGACCTCTGGTAGCGGATGAGCACGACAAACCAGAAACCACCACCAGTCTCACTCAACATGGCTCTACCGAGAATGATCAAGCAAAGCCTGGATCTGGCTATCAAAGCGGGCTGCCGTTTTTTCTGGTCGTCTTCGCCTTGCTGTTGAGCATGTTCTTGGTGAGTGGGCTGGACTTTTGTAGTACCACATGCAGGCTGACCAATGATACCCTAGATCGCCCTTGATATGACCATCATCGCAACTGCGATCCCAAGTATCACGGATGATTTCCATGTTAGTCTCCAAGTACTGGCAGCATTGATGTGCCCCAAACTGATACCCTCCATAGTCGGCCCCAGATGTCGGCTGGTACGCTGCTGCGTTCTTCATCACCTTGGCCATATTCCAATCAGCATGGGGCAAAGCATACAAGCACTTCAATATTAAGATCACCTTCGTGGTAGCAGTCGTCCTGTTCGAGGTTGGCAGCTTGATCTGCGGTACGTTCACTCTAACCGATTGTATTGGATGCATCGACTAAACGGGCCCTAGGCGTTTCGCAAAACAGTCTTACGTTCATCGTCGGCCGAGCCATCGCTGGACTTGGTGGGGCTGGCGTTACTGGTGGCGTGTACACCGCCATGGCCTACATTGTGCAGCCTGCGCAAGTTCCAACATACATTGGCCTCATCGGCGCCGTGTTTAGTGTCGCCAGCGTTGCTGGCCCCCCGCTTGGCGGTGCGCTCACTGGCGAGGTGAGCTGGCGATGGGTGTGAGTGCGGTATCTCGTGCTATTTTTCTATCTCTCGCTAATATCTACATTCTAGATTCTACATCAATCTGCCAATAGGCGGCTTCGCCCTGTTGATCATCTTCATCTACTTCCACTTGCCTGCCACAGTCAAGCCAGTACCTATCGGCCGAAAAGAACTCATCTTGGTCATGGATATTCCCGGGATTGTCCTCGGCATGGGTGCGCTTGTCAGCTTCACGCTCGCTATGCAATGGGGTGGTACCCTGAAGCCTTGGTCTTCTCCAGACGTTATAGGTACCCTCGTAGGCAGTGTTATCATGACTGTCCTCTTCGCCGTCTTGCAGTGGCGAGCGGGCGAGAACGCCTCCCTCGTTACGCGGATTATGACGCAGCGAACAGTCGCAGCACTGTCGGCATTCATCTTCTTGTTCGTATCCCACCGCCAGGATGTTCTTCTGATCGCTGACGAAGTACCCGCAGTCTGAACTCGACCAACTTCCTTCTGGTATACAATCTCCCACAATACTTTCAGGTTATCAACGACCTCTCCGCCACAGAAAGTGGTATCAGAAACCTCGCACTCATTCTCTCAACTTCAGCTTTCGTCCTCGCAAGTGGCTTCATCCTCGGCCGGGTCGGCTACTACCACATCTTTCTCATCAGTGGTTCTGCTCTACTCACAGTCGGGGCCGGCCTCGTATACACGCTCGACCTTGACTCCAAAGTCGCGGAAGTAGTGGGGTTCCAGATTCTGGTTGGTATGGGTATCGGCTTAGCCATCCAGGCTCCCGTCATTGTCGCACAGGCCTTCTCGGCCCCTGAGGATATACCAGTAGTCACCTCGATAGTCATGTTCTTTCAGCTAGTGGCGGGAGCGATATGTGTATCGGCCTCGCAGACACTTCTCAACAACCGACTGATCTCAGCACTGGCAGACCTCGCTCCCAACATTTCATCCGAGCAAGTCTTCGCGGTCGGTGCGACGGAGATCCGTGATGCCTTTCAGGGGGCCGATCTCGTCGCTGTGCTAAAGTCCTACATGGTCGGTCTTAAAGATTCTTGGCTCTTTGCGACTGTTTTGGCTGCGATCACGTTTCTCTTGGCTTTTGCGGGAGAATGGAAGAGCGTTAAGGGCGCAAAGCCTGCGGCTGTTGCATGATATTGGCGTGTGTACTTTATCTGAGATTTACTTTTCATAACACCTCTTATAATACTTTTAGAACATTCCAGCAGAATGCAATTAATCCTTGCATCAAAATACCGGAAAGCGTCCTTCGGAATGAGCCCTCTTTGTCCACATTCCGCGTGATTGCTTGTTTCGGGGCGCCCTTGTGTTGCACTGAACGCCATGTGTGGGGGACTTGACTGTACCCCCACTCACATAACGACAGCATTACACGAGACAGCTTTGGCCTGCTACAATACCGACAGCACTGGAAAGATACCGTTTCTTTGAGAACCTGGTCAGGCGCCATGGCCGACCGATTAGCCATGCATCAGACCCTCTCCAGGTGAGCATACTGGCCCATCCTAAACTCAGCCGGGCGTCGCTTCAGGTTTGGCTCCCAGGACTACTGTGGATACGAGATGTACCAGCTCGTCTCTGTTGTAGTTAGATTAGCCCGATGGAATATCAGCACGGGAAGAACGTGCATGGAATGAGCCCCGGTTCCAACGGCCCAGCTGTTGTGTCAGCGAGCCTCAGCCGCGATACCGGTAAGCATTTGACAGCCACCATTTGAGTCACCGAAGCCATGATCCAGATACTCAGGGTTGCCCTCGCCGCGGCATACAATCAGCTTACGAGGCCAGAGCTAACTGTGGGTCGGGCGTTCAGCAAGGTCTGCAGTTGGTGGCGCAGGTCTTCAAGCCACGACTGAGCGGTTTCCGAAGAGGCAACTTTCACGTTCAAACAACTGCCGAGGCGAGTCTGAAGAGAGGCTAGAGATGTTATCATACGAATATAAATGTCGAAAGAAGCTCCCATCATCTGTCAAATCAACTGCGTCGAACAGTCTCTTCAACTCGGCTTCCTTCGCTGGAAGAGTGAAGAACGACCTCATTTTACATCATTCTCTCTGAATAGCTTCTCCTTTACCCCGATCTCCTAAGATGGTCATGATGCCCCAACGAACAGTGGTAGCACTTGCTACAACGCTGCTTTCGGCTGCCACCATTTCCGCCGAACAATACGCCAACAACACCGACTGCCGTGTTCTACCAGGAGATGCTGCTTGGCCAGTCAAATCGCAATGGGACAAACTCAACGCGACGATTGAGGGCAGGCTCATTGCATCCGTACCACTGGGCGCAGCTTGCCACGACCCAACCTACGACGAGGAGAAGTGCAACTATCTGCGCGAGAATTGGCAGCTACCAGTCACCTACGAAGACGATCCCACCACACCAATGAGCTATTGGTTCCAGAACTCAACCTGCGACCCCTGGACTGATCGCTCTACGCCATGCGAGCTGGGCCATCTGGCTGTTTATGCAATCAACGTTAGCCAGCCAGCTGATGTTTCGGCCGGGCTTGCTTTTGCACATGAGCATAAGATCAGAGTCAGTATCAAGAACACTGGCCACGACTTCAACGGAAAGTCGGTTGGCCAGGGATCTCTGGGTATCTGGACTCACGATCTCAACTCCATTCAACCAATCCACAACTACAGCCAGCCCTGGCACAAGGGTCCAGCGATGAAGCTCGGTGCGGGCGTCAGAGGCTATGAGGCATACAAGGGTGCTCACGATGCTGGCCTCCGGGTAGTCGGTGGCGACTGTGCCACTGTCGGCATCGCAGGAGGCTTTCTCCAGGGTGGTGGCCACTCGCCTCTCTCTGGCGTTTACGGAATGGCTTCTGACAATGTGCTTGAATGGGAGGTAGTCCTTGCGAATGGTACATTCGTGAAAGCTACACCTGAACACAACGAGGACCTTTACTGGGCACTTGCTGGAGCTGGCCCATCTACCTTTGGCGTCGTCACCGCGGTCACACTACGTGCATTCCCTGACGGACCCGTCGGCGGCGCTTCGATCATTTTTGATCGCAGCCAGATGAGCAACGACACCTTCTGGGAAGCATTCACCTACTTCCAGAAAGCACTCCCCGGACTCAATGCTGGTGGAGCGCAATCATCCTTCGCTACCCTACCGCTGCAGTTCTATCTGCAAGCCGTCACACGGCCCGACTACACCAAAGACCAGATGCGCGACTTGCTGTCAGAGTTCACCACGAACCTTGACTCTCTCCATATCGACTACAACCTCACCATCACTTCCACGCCTACTTACCTGGACCATTTCGTAACATACTTCGGTCCCGCACCATGGGGCCCTTACGTCGTCGGTGAGCTCATGACAGGCCGTCTCATTCCCCTTGAAGTTAGTCAAGCCGACCCAGCCGCGATCATCGCTGCGTATCGCGAAATCACCGATACTACGCAGATCATCATCGGCTCCACCGCCCAAGACGTTTCCATCACGCCGCTTCGTAAGCCCGTTGCACCCAATTCCGTGATGCCCAGCTGGCGCACAGCAGTCAATACATTACTCATCCAGAGCTACTTCAACTCGTCGATTTCCTGGAACGAGAAGCAGCATTTGCAGGACCAGCTTGTCGGCTTTGCGCAAAAGCGTATTGACGATCTCGTGCCGGAGGATACGGGGACTCATTTGAATGAAGCAAACTTTTCGCCGCTGATTGACTGGAAGACACAGTTTTATGGCACTAACTATCCGAGGCTGTTGGATATCAAGCGTCGGTTGGATCCGGAGAATGTCTTTTGGGCTGTCACCGCTGTCGGTTCTGATGCGTTGGAGGTGGCTGCTGATGGTCGACTCTGCGTTGCCCATTAAGGATAGATGAGTACGTCGTTTAGTCATCTTTGTGTCTGTGGTTTGCACTGTGCTGCAGTAGGCAATCTCTGACTTGAGTGGTTGTATTAGAACGGCTGTGTTAGATACTAGAAGGGTTATATTAGAGCGGTCGTATTAGAGTGGTTTTATTAGAATTCATCTGGTACGTTTGACGATGTTCATCGAAGCCATTTGCTCTAGCTACTACATGCATGAGTGAAGAGATGTTGGTAATTTCCAGGCTGCAAGATCACGCGAAGAACCCCTACGCTCATGTTCTTGACTGTCGAAAGCTTCCAACGCCATGTCATGTCTACAATCTTTCGCGTCATTGATAAAGTATACATATGGCACTCAAAACTCTCTTTCCAGCTCTCAGTGGTGGTTCTGAGCCATCCTAGGCGACGTAGGTGTGTGTCAACAGTATCAGGAACTACGTATATAGTCGTGAGTTGTTCCGGCTCGCGTGGGTACTGGTCATGAACTCGATCTGAGTGACTAGTCATAGTCGAGATTGATAAGAGATGAACGTGATAGAAGTGTTGTAATAGGTGGTTGATATATTGTTGATATGGAAGTCAAACTATCTTTGCCCATCCAAGGGGAGCCAAATGTGGGTCGATTTGTCACGACTAGACTGCGACAATCTTCTTGACGAAAGCGGCCTGCAAATCTGACAGCATGGGGAAGTCATCTCCACTCAACACATCCAAATGCCCCTTGCCAGGAGCAATGTGCAACACCTTCGGCTCCGGGAACGTCGCATGAAGCGCAATCTGCGCCTCGGGGGGCGAGATCTGGTCCAGCTCCGGCACTACCATCAACACAGGTGTACGGTCCAGGTATCTCATGATACCTTGTGGTTGCCATAGCTTTATCTTGTAGTACGATTGGAACGTTGTGTGATTTTCGTGTCGCGGGGCGCCACGCGTTTTGGCGTTGACCATACTACAAACACCGGTCAGTTATACATCGTCACTTATCAGAATCTTTGGACTTACTAGTCAAACTCCTCCTTGTCTGCTCCCAATCCCATCCCAGCGGGGTTTTTGCCCTCAGCAGTCAACACTGGGACATATAGAGGCTTGTTACCTGTGAGCTGCGACTCCCGGTCTTGTTGGAGTTTGGCAAGCACTTTGGGAAACTTAGATGCTTCGTATTCGAGGTTCAAGAGCGGGCAGATGGCGATGCAGAAGCGAATGCGTGGGTCCAGAGCTGTAGCAGACAGTGCAATGACACCGCTGAACGACATACCCCAGATACCAATCATTGAAGAATCGACGTTTGGAAGACTCTTGACGAAAGTGACTGCGTCGGAGTAGTCGGATACTTGTCTCGCTGGATCGATGTCGTTGCGCGGCAACCCATCGCTCAGGCCGAGCGTTCGCGGGTCATAGATCAGTGCTGTGATACCGTTCTTCTGGAACTGTTCGGCGACATCTGGTACAAACATCTCTTTGACGCAATTGAACTATCATCGTCAGCTTTCGGTCTGATAACTTCTTTGAACCGTCTAGAAGATCATACACCTGGCGTAATAATGACCGCAGGCCCCTTTCCGGACGACACTGCAGCATTGTACAGGTCACCACGCAAAGTGAGACCATCAATGGTCTTGAACTCAACTTCCTGGGTGTCGATTACCATGATACTGTATGATTATGTAAGGATCCTGGAGGAGTTCAACAACTTTGCCACGGATTCGGAAGATGCTTCTTATCTCAAGCCGTCTTTGAGAATATCAGATTCTAAAGAGAATTGCGCTCAATGAATGCGTTACGTATACCACCAACTACTGACATGAATTTGATACCCACAACTATAATTCATCACCCAGAGAGTATACCTACGAGTCAGACATTGTGGAAGTGCTACGGGGAAGTCAGCATCAAACGCTACACGAACGCAGGGTCAGAGCCTTGCGCAAAGCTACTACATGACGCTGGGTCACAGACATATGCAAAGTAATCGAAAACCACAGCCAAGTTCAGCTGAGTACATATCGTTGCGTACCGAACTATGCCAGGGTTCTAAAGATGGCGCCTTGTGCTGACCGCATAATCTCCGTCCAGCCATTTGCCGTCACACCAATCGCAACCGATTTGGAAGAAACGTTGCAGATGTATGCGGAATGTCCACTTTGTTCACAAGCCATAATCTCACATCAGCTTCATAAATTAATCGTGCTTCACCCCGACGTCTTTCGGTAACGTCTTGCTGACTGCATGTCAGCAGTTCCGATAGTCCCAGCGACCAAATTCTTGCGTGAATGATACTGCCTATCGTGAGAGGGGATGATTGGAT